AAGAATCCCCACTCAAATTACGTCCAGTCAACCAAAACTATTATAAAACATGAAATTGTTTTAGGCAACAAATTGCTGCGACTGACTTCGTACGGTTTCAATTTGGGCTGATTTAGCGGCCTTCCAATACTTAAATTGGTAAATTATAAGTATGATGACAACTAATAGTTTGTGAGGCCGTGAGCACCATGAAAGTTGAATCAAGGAAGCGCGGGCATCGGCGAAATCGGCCACTTACGAGGCAACGGACACATTCTCCTCAACTGCTGACTTTGCTGGCGACGGTGCTGGACGCTCTTCTTTCAGGCTTGGTACTGAAGCAGCAATCGATGATGCTGTGCTTGTCTGCGGCGTTAACGGATCAGCAGGTCTAGGTGAATTTGTTGCAGATGCCTGCGCAGCACTTAGTGCACCATTTGAAGGATTGCGGGATGGGATAGAGACCGACACGTTCATCTGTAAAAAAATTGTCCTATTCATAGTTCAGTCTGAAGAATCGAAGCAAGTCACAGATTTCCACAACATAACACAATTTAGTTGTTCGTTACAAATTAAAAATCTAGATAAATATGAATTTTAGAAGTAATTTTTTAAAATTCATATTTATTTTAACTCAACCTTTTCTTATCTATAACAGCATTACAACTTCCATCAAAATCGTGTAGAAGCTGTGAGAAGTGAATCAGAATAAAACTATTCTTTTTTTTTAGCTTAGATGAAATCAACAACTTTCAACAAAAACTTTTTTAGCTATATACAGCCCCTCGATGTACATCATGATAATTCTAAGGCATAATTTCACCTAGGTTGAATAGAGGGTGAACTAGGGTAGTTCGTTGTTGGTGGATGCCTAAGTGAACCAAAATCTAAAAAACCGTACATTCAACCGAAGTGCAGTGGCATTCCCTGCCGATCACGTGCTTTTACTTAGTTGATTGTATCATTACAACTCTAGGTTATGGAAGCCTGCAGAGTACGTTAGCTAGCTTATTAACTATTTTTCATACGGCATCTGGATTGTTATTGTGAAGTCAGGTTGGTTATTTCTTCTTCTTCTTTCTCCTTTAATGGCCAACTTGCGCGTAAGCAAGATAAAGTAAAATACTTTTGTCGTTATCGAAAATTTACCTATACTTTGGCCCCTTGCAAATAACATTAAAGCAGAAAGTAAAAAAAAACCATAAGAAACTACTGATTATTTTTTACACATTCCTAGCAGATAAAAATTGGTGATAGTAAAAAAAATAGTGGAACTAGTGATCTCAAGCATAGTATCAAAGTATCTACGCAAAAAGCAAGACACACTGTAAATCCCATTAAATAAGCAGAAAAACAGCAGATGAAATAGAGATTAACATATCCCCTTACCTGCGGAGTCAGCGATGGAAAACTAGCTCCCGACGCAGCTACACTCATCGGCGGTAACATCTGCGGCACCATACCGTTCATTGCATGCGGAATGGCCATTCCTGCCGGCATTGGCATGCCAGGCATTCCCATGCCCATTCCAGCCGCCATCATCATTTGGGCTGAAATACAGATGTATTGCACAACGATTTGAGGACAACAAAGCAAGG